AGTTAAAACTAAATCAAGAAAATATGCTGTTTCCTAAATTTTTTAGTGAAATTAATTAATCTGCTTCAGCTGTACAAAAAATGCAGTTGTTATTTAACATTTGTTTCAAACCATACACTTTAATAGGCCTGTTCCTGCAGAAATCACAAACCACTCAGAGTGAATTTCATTGGTTGAAAACAGTCAGAAAACTAGTTTCAACCAATGAAGTTTACTGTGACTGGTTTGTGATTTCTGCAGAAACAAACCTAATATTTAATTAATTTGAATAATTTTCAAACAATTTAAATACAATTTTGCTTTTGATACACATTATTTAAGCTAATAAATTAGTCTAGTACAGGTTTGGCATACCTACACAAAAACCCATTTCAAAACCCCACCATCGATACTGATAAAAACCCAGTGGGCTTTGGGCTTTCTTATCCAGAAATGGCTTAATTTTCGAAAAAAAATTCGAGAGATTTTCATCAAGAAAACAAAATGATTCCTACAATAATGCCAAATATCAATCCAATAATATGTACTTGTAAATAAATAATTGAAGGTAAATTGAAATCTTTATGAACAGGTTTGTAGAGAATTTAATTGTCTTTAATTAAATACTAATTGCGTTGAAATTAGTTAAAAATTACCTGCGCTGTGAGGGAAAAAATGGTGCAATCTCATTTTTGGAAAATTTTCAGTGTGCGAAAAATTCAATTTTGAAGCTTCTCGGCTGCAAAACTGTTGAAACTGAATTAAAATCTTGATCAACAAGTTTGTAGAGAATTTAATTGGCTCTAATTGCGTTGAAATCGGATGAAAATTAACGGAGCTGTGAGGCAAAAGCTGTCTCTCATTTTTGGAAAATTTTCAATGTTTGATAAATTCAACTTTTAAGCCTTTCAGGTGCAAAACTGTTGACACAAATATACAATTCTGTCTAGTTGAGTAAACACAAAAACTATCAGAATAACCGCAAAAACCCGAAAACACAATATAAAATTTCAAAATCCCGGGTTTGCCAAATTTCAAATTTTCTTTATTCATGTTAAAATCACAAAAGAGCAATGCACATACGTCAAGATAAATAAAATAAAATAAAATGCATATCAATAATAAATAACGATAAAATACAAAATGTTCAATTAACACTATTGAATATGACAAAAATACCTACAATATTCTTCATTTGAATAAAACACATTTAAAATTTATTTGATAGTTCTTTAACTTCCAATGACAGCACATTAAAATATTTTATTGCTCAGTAGCCAGGGCCATTCTGACACCTCTTCAGTCGCCTGTAACCTGGCATTGAGTTACTTCTGTTTCTGGTGAGGCAAAATAGGCAGTTCTTAGTACCATGGGGGGCACATTTTCTGCAAGACGGCGTAGCAGATACAAATTTCTGTTAAGCTTTAGGCTACAGACTCAATGTGTATACCGCACTGTGCTTTTAGGTCAATAATGGCCGTTTCGACCGACTATTTTAGGGGAGCTCTAACGATATTCCTCAAAATGACAGTATTCCATGGAAAAGTGTCAGTAAGGTATACCTATCGTTAGGGCTTCCTTAAAGTAGTTGGTGAAAATGGCCATAAGAACCTCAAGGAACCTAGCTTGACGAACTTAGTCCCTCACTGTCCCAATAGCTCATATGAACAAAACAGCAAATGCTTTTGCTCAATTTTTTTGAGATAAACATATTCAGCTTTAATGCAGCAAAAAGAGACAAAGGTAGAGTAAAAGCATTTGCTACACTTTATTCATACGAGTGCTAAGAGCAAGCACCATTTTCTTTGTCTTGCTCCTGTTCAACACTAGCCTATTCGTATTGAACCGTTTCTCAGCCATCCTCTGTGCCTCCAGAGAACCTATCAGCGAAGCCTCAAGAGAGTCCGCCATCACAGAGATCGTTGTGTCGTCGGCAAAGAGAGTATAATTAGACTTTTTATCCATTAAGGGCGAATGGTTAACATATATGAGGAAAAGTATTGGACCCAGAATGGACCTTTGAGACACCCCTATTTTGATTTTCTACCCCGTCGACGTCACACCACCGTACTGCATAGTCTGGCACCTTCCCGTAAAATATGACTTTAAAAGTTGACGGCTGCCATTACTGAATGTATATGCTTCTAGCGTACGCAGAAGGATTCCGTGGTCGACACAGTCAAAAGCTTTGCTGAGATCGCAAAACAGAACCGCGTTATAGCAGTGTCCATCAAAAGCATCCATAATATCAGACATGAGATTCAGGATTCCTAAAATGGTGTTACTTTTTGTTCTAAACTCAAATTAATTTTCATTGAAATGACCATTTACTTCAAAAAAACTTACTATTTGCCTAGACATGCATTTCTCAAAGACTTTGGACAGTATGGGTAGTAGCGATATCGGTCTATAGTTCTCTACCTCATCTGGAGGAACCTTCCCCAATACAAAAGTTTATAAGTTTTGTGAGAGGTACCAGAATCAGAGTTTTTACCGATTTTATAATTTTTACATCATTCAAACCATACATATCCCGACTGTTCTTGTTTTTAAGTTGATTTATTATACCTCATGTGTCCCCCATGGTACTAAGAACTGCTTATTTCGCTGCTTATTTCGCAACTTTTCAGGCACAACTTTTCTATGCTGTACTTGTATGGGGTCATGCCTCAGGTGCTCAGCGTCTGTTTGGATTGCAGAGAAAGGCAGTCAGGGTGGTGAGTAGTTTGGGTTACAGGGATGATTGTAGGGCAACTTTTCAACAGCTAGGAATACTTACCCTGCCCTCTCTGTATATTCTGGAGAATTTGCTTTATATAAAGAGCAATATCCATATGTTCTCAACTCATGAAGACATACATGCCTATCCCACCAGAAACAAAAGTAATTTAATACCAGGTTACAGACGACTGAAGAGGTGTCAGAATGGCCCTGGCTACTGGGCAATAAAGTATTTCAATGTGTTGCCATTGGAAATCAAAGAAATACCAAATAATAGATTTAAGGAGAAAGTGAAACAAATTTTAATTTTAAATGTTTTTTATTCAAATGAAGAATATTTTAAGTATTTTTGTCATGATCAATAGTATTAATAATTGTAGTTTTTGCATTTTATTTTATAACTTGATTGTATGTATAAAGCCCAGTGCCTTAATGATTTTTTGTTTTTAAATTGTTTGTAAAGTGAATGTTTAATGTGCGAATGAATTGTCATTTTGTATTTTATTGACCTATTTTATTTACTTTGACGTATGTACATTGCTTTTTTGTGATCTTAACATGAATTAAGAATTTGAATTTGAATTTAAATTTGAATACCTCCAACTTCATTGAAACTTGCCTCAGAGAAGGAGAATGCTTCCTGAAGATAAACATTTTTGAGATTTTCCAAAGGATCAGATCTGACTCTGGTATACCCCCTGCACAAGTTCATTAGCAATATTTGAGAAATATTTATTGAAGTTATCTGAAGTAAGGTTTTTTGATTCAATATTTTGATTTGTGTTTCCTCTGTTCTTATTAATAATTTCCCACATGCTCCTTCCTACTGGGGTTACTAAAAGAAATTATCCATTTATCATTGGAAGCTATTTTGGCTTTGCGGATCTCTTTTTGTTATCGTCGCTTATATTGTCCGCCCAAGTTAAGAACACCGGTTAAAAAAAAGTGAAGAATTGAAGTTCATAGAATACATAGTTGTCACATACACTAACTACAAAAAAATGAGGCGTTCAATAATTGTTATTCGTTAACAAAATAATTGTTATTCGTTAACAATTATCAAACGCCTCATTTTTTGTAGTGAGTGTACATGACAGCTATGTTTTCTATGAACTTAAATTCTTCAAATTCTTTCAACCGGTGTTCTTATCTTGGGCGGACAGTACTGCATATAGTACTCTCTGTTTCCGTCGCTACCATACTGCCTACCTATTTTACCCAAAAACCTCAACTCTTTTCTCATAGCTCGTAGTTCCTGGCTAAACCAATCAATGTTATTTTCTGAACGCATCACATACTGTTTTTCAGGAAAACATTCAATATTTAATATATAGCTTTTCAGAGCATTCACAAATCTTTCACATATCAGCATTCATATCCCCATAATCAACAAAATCCAATGTTTTTCCAGAGAGACTATTATAAAACATGAATCCTCTTCGGGTAATTAGTCTAAATTTCTTTTTTGTTTACACAGAGAACATCAATGTTTTTATCAACAAAAAACGCCTCAAATTGCAACAACTTATTTTTTAAGGATGATAAGAATGATGTTCATTATCTTGAGTTGCTTTGTTGGATTAGTTGTATTCTTGGATTGAATGGCTTGATTTGAACTTCAGTTATTATTGTCCCCCGAGTCGCTGACTTGTCATACGACTTCAGCGTTGGAGATTCATAAAACGGTTAATAGAAGTGCCCCTAGACCATAAATTGGGTGACATTATTTCTTCTTTAAGATTAGTAGGCACAGCTAATTTGAAAGAACTTTGAAGTTTATCTCTTTTAGTTCTCATTTTTTCACAAACATAATCTCCGCTGTGATGTTTTTTTTTTTTCAAATAATTGACAATGTCTTTGCCCTCGAGTTCTGGAGCAAGACCCGAGAGAAAAATCCATGATAATTTTGTGGCTGCAGTGCCAACCCTGTCAACGAACTATTCTTGGTTTTGAAAATACATGCAAACCAAATCTTGATAACAATGTACTTTTGGAAGAGCAAATATGAGATTTTTGTATATTGGTTTTTTGATAGGCATCTAATGACGCCATGTTTGAGAAAATAATAGTACGTTTTATTTGAGGCAAAAACTACTTTTTTCTATTACAGACTTATCTCGCGGAAGTATGACTTTTACTTCAAATGAAACAATATACTATTGAGTTGACATACAAAAAAACATCTAAACACTGTAAAAAATAGATTAACTTTATGCAGATAATAAAAAAAGTTTATTCCAATACATATTTTTATTAAATTACTTTACAAACAATACATAGAATACTAAACAATACCAACTAAAAAATATTCTGAAACAGCCAAAAACATCACAAATTAGTCATAGAAAACATTTTGAATGAATCTAATTGACTATGATCGCAGTGTGGCTTTATTTTTCTACCAAAGGAAAACAATGATATTGCAACACAAAAAACTACAAACTAAAAACCAAAAACTAAATTATCTACTCAGTAGAAAAGTTATAAGTCAGAGTCGATTGGATGATTGGAAAATATTTTAAAGATTTCATCAAAAAAATCTTATCGATTAGATTTATACAAAAAAAAAACTTCTAATGATTAATAATTCGTAGGGTGGCTTTATTTTTCAGCCAAAAGAAAAAAATATTAATGCAATACAAAAACCTACAAACTAAAAATTAAGTTTTGTCAGAGATGATTATTCTTATCGACTCTGATTCAAAGTGTGGCTCTATTTTTTGCCCTTGTTGGGATTAACCCACTCCATAATCCATGGGTGCTTCATCACCTCTTTCAAAGACATTCTTTTTTCACCCTTAAGGACGACCAACTGAAAAAAAATATATTTTAGAAGCAGCAAAGTTTAATGAGGAAGTGCATAGTAGGTAAAAATTTGAAAACCAAATGAGGAAGGACATGAATAAGTCGGACATTTTCAACAATTATTGCTGAGGAACATCCTTGAAAAATACCTAAACCAAAATATAACAAATCTATGGAAGTGTGAATGCAATGGCAAAAAACAATAAACTAAACTCAACTAGCATGTCTCAAACTAAATTTAACATGTCAGCCAAAATAATAGGCTTAAAAAATGTATGTTGATAATGTGGATCTGGTATATAAAACAATACTTAAATAAAATACTCACCCTGTTAATGAAGTTCTTAGCGTTGTCACTAATGTGTTTATCAAAATGTAGGTCTCTCATTTTAATTCGTCTACAAGTGTCCGCTACAGCTTTGGTTGCGAATGGAGCTCTACCATGCAAGAATTCATAACATAAAATTCCTAAAAAAAAAAAATTGATATTGAATTTTAGGTAAGCTTCATAAAAAAAAAACTAACCCAAACACCAATTATCGACATGATGTCTATAATCTTTGCCGTCAATCATTTCAGGTGGTAAGTAATCCAAAGTGCCGCACCTAGTGTTTCTTTTCATTGAAGGCGAGTGGACAGACCAACCAAAATCGGCTACCTTAACATCATCAGTAATAGTAAGAAGCAAGTTTTCAGGTTTGATATCCCTATGAATAACATGATTCTGATGACAATACTCCAAAGCATCGGCAACCTGATATACGTATTTGGCTGCGTGGTGATTGTCAAATCTACCAAAACGTTTTAAACGTGTGTATAACTGTCCTTTATTAGCATATTCCAAGACTAAGTAAATTCTATGAGAATCGTGGAACCAGGCCAGAAGTTGTAGTATGTTTGGATGTTTCAAATGGCTCTGTATTTCGATTTCCCTTACTACTTGTTTTTCGGCGCCTTTCTCGACAATTTTCTTTTTCAGTAGGGTCTTAATGGCCACTACAAATCTGCTGCGCCTGTCACGCGCCAAAAAAACTTTACCAAATGCACCTTCTCCGAGTTTCTTTCCCCATTCGAAGTCGTTTGCGCTCCATTCATAACTGTATAATTATACTTAAATTAGAAAATTACACAAAAATATGGAAAAACTTGAAACTTTAGAATAAAAAAGCAACTAGGCTAAGAGAAAGATAGCGATAACTAACCCACAACTGTCAGTTAGGGTCACCTTAGTCAAAAATAGTGTACCTACTTAGATATACTATATTTTGGACTAGCTATAAAAGGTTCGAGATAATTGTTTGACTTTTTAAAATAGGAACTAGTAAAATCGCATCGCAGCAAAAAAGGTGTGATAAAAAAAAGTTTTCTCAGGTACCTAGTTGTTCATAGTAACGAAAATAATAATCAAAATTTGTCACAATAATTTGTCAGTTTCATCTTCGTAGTCCTTTGAAAATATAAATTTTGTTAGAAAAAGTCGAGGAAAAAGCATAGCTTTCATATTTCCCTGGCATCAAGGTGGTCCTTCGATGCCTTCGTCTCGAAAAGAACGGATAGCAAGAAGTGAAATCCACGAATCGTAACAATTATTGTTAAAGAGGTAGGTATTATAGTAACACTCACTTTTTTTTTCTTTTCAAGTTTATGTTTTGTACTTTTTTATATGATTTATTCATGTAGTAAATCTTTTAAGTACTGTAGGATGAATAAATAAATAACAGCTCAGGTTAAAGTTCGAGTTTAAAATTAAAAGTAGAAGCATATGGAAGATTCATACAATAGACAACAGACACTTTGAGGGAAAAAAAGTCCAATGGTATCAATGCAGCTTCTATGGTATTCAGGCTGCAAAGCTTCAAAGTGTTTCGACTTTTTGATCAAGGTGAGCGAGCAGGACATTTGTTTTTTTTGCTCAAATTTAAAATGTTTTTTAAATCAACTTGCAAAATTTCAGTCCAATGATTCAAATATTTTCCTTAAAGAAAAAAACGTCCTTTTATGTACCTAGTTTTTTGGAAATGTGATTTTAGTATTCTGACTCCTATTTTCATCAAGGTTATGAGCGGCAGAAAATTTTTGTTATCCTTCCTAAATATCAATATTTTCCCTATCCACTTGTTTGATTTTAATCATCGATTAAAAATAAATGAATCTTTTGATTAAAATCTTGCAAACCCTGAATGTAAACCGTTGGCAAAACTTTGTACCTATGAGGCTCCCTCAAGGGCTTCCTTGATGGATTTTGACCACCATTCTTGATACCTTGGTAATTCGAATCTTCACTATTCTCTGAAGAATACACCAAACATCTATTAATATTGCCAGTCTTATGAGGCTCTTCATTCCTCGAGAAACTCTATTGACTAGCAGATTGGAATCGAGAATGATAATCAAAAGAACCAAATGTGACATCACTTTAGAAGTAAATTGGGTGGCTCGACTCAGACTAAACTGAACCCACTTAATTTTATTAATTATGGCAGAAAGACAAAAAATAATTTACTTTGGATTGTTGTACGCTGGATGGTCAATCATCTTGGCCACCAGTGTCTTGGTGCTTTCTGCATGGCCTGGAATTGGAGGAATGGTGATTGTCTCCATGTACTTCTCCACGATCTCCTTCGTTTTTTTGTTCTCGGACATTTTTTCTTTTCCTTTTTCAAAATAATCAAAATATAAATTAAATTAAGTAGGTGTTGTACTACACTAGAACGTAACCTAAACGTTTGAAAAAATTAAAAAACGTGGCCGTTGTTGGTCGTTGCTGGTTGCTTGAGTGTACTCTGATTGGTTAGTCTGCTACTCCTACTCCTACTCCTGATGTTGACGTTGAATGATGAACATATGAATAGGCATGTGTTGGAAGGGCGCATTCGGGAACCAACATGTTATCGAACGTAGCTCTATCGGGTAGGTTCAGGGCTTTCTTTTATTTGTTGACGAAACCAGTTGATAATCGATCCATATATCATTTTTCCTGCATTTACGGAGCAGCCAACACGGGCTTGATACGGTTGAAAAATATGTATGTTCTACCAATTTTCCTTTTCTTGCCTTTGTTTTTTTCTTTCAAAGGGTATTCTACTATACTGTCCTATGGCGCACTCTGCGATCTGGGTGGCAAGTGCAGAACAATATTTTTGGAGTTGATTCAGATCAAGAGCAAACTAATAATAAACCTTTACATACAGTGCCGACAATTGGAGGTCCCGCCGCCATATTCTTCCTAATTTTGAATCTGAATATGTGGGATTTAAATGGATATCTATCATAAAAAATTGGAAACAATGTATTTGATGATTATTATTAGGTACCTGCATCAAATTATGTTGTTTTAATTTTTTTTATGAAAGGTGTCCATTTACAGCTTAATACATTTATATTTAAGATTAGCAGGAATATGGCGGCGGGACCTCTATTCTCCCCAAGGATCATACACACTACTAAGGATTGCTTATCGGCCTCGTTTTTGGTAATCGCGGCCATATTGGTGTATCACCATTGCCGACGTCATTAACTAAGTCGTCAGCTGTTTGCGCCAGCGGTCCTAGTTTAGGAGTTAAACCAAGTATGCATAAAGCAAAAGCCTGCGGAATCATAACCTGTGGTGCAAACAGCCTACATCAAGGCGAGAAACGACATGCTACTGCGTGATTTGGCGTGGTGGGGAGCTTCAGATTAGTTCTACACATGCCCTATGAGTATAGGCTATCCTGTAGTAGTAGTGTGTATTATCCTTGATTGTCGCCATGTATAAAGGTTATTCAAGTAGTCACTGTAACTTCCAAAAACGTTGAATTAATAATAAATTCTTAAATCGAAAAAAATATTTAAAAAAATCTTCATGAAACATATACATATAATATCGAAACAAAAAATAAAAAGTACTCATGGACAGGGACCCGGACCGAAATAAAATATCGGTTCCGTTCCGGTTCCGGTCCACAGCGTCATGACGAATATCGGTTCCGTTACGGTTTCGGTTCTGAGAGAAATATTTCGATTCGGTTCGGACCAATAATTTCGGTTTCAACGGTTCATACCGGTATAGTTTTTCACAAATATCTAATGGCCATTTGCACTGACCATTTCAAGAAGCATCCCTTAAAACGGTCATTACAGAAAAATTTATGTTTCTATAATTTGTGGTTTATCTTTTTGGATTTCTCTGCCTATCTGCAACAACTTTAATAATCATAATAATTACTATTAATAAAAATAATAAAATAAATTTTTGTGTTTTCGATCAGTGATGACGTGACAGCGTGTCGTTTCTCGCCTTGCACCAGTTGCACCATGGATTAGGAGGTGTTTTCTCGCGTCTCAAAGGTTTGAAACATTTTCCAAAACTGGTTTAAATCAGTTTCACAATGACGTCATAATTTCTCGGCACGAGGAAATGGTTTTAAAACGTGGATTGGATTGTATTTCGAAACGGTTTAGGACCATAGTACATTATTTTATATTTCAAAACAACCCTTGTTTAGATCTCATTTGCATCTTCCTCTTGTCTATTGACTATTGTGTTAATCAAATTTAAATTATATTTTTCATCATACATGTATATTCTTAACTACGAACGCAAACCGCTAACGAGACCGTTGATGACGTCGGCAATGGTTCAACAACATATGAACTTGATTCCAAAAATCGAAGCCGATGAGCAATCCTGTAGTAGTATGTAAAATCCTTGGTGTGTAGCCTAGCCGAGTTCAGAAATGCGCGCTGTCCAATGTCCAACGATCTGATTTTCAAAGTGTTAATTTTATTATGATACAACCAAACATCAAACAGCTTAATTTATAAAATCTTGGAACCGAAAAATACCGGTAAGAACCGATTAATTCATATCGGTTCCGGTTCTGCCTGCCTTACAACATTTCTATGAAATATGGGTTTCGTTCCGGTTCCGGTCCGCAAAAAAAAAACGGTTTCGTTCCGGTTTTCGGTCCAATATCGTTCCGGTCCGGGTCCCTGCTCATGGAGATCAAAAAATGGTTAAGATCGATTCAAGAAAAAAGAATCGATTATAAAAAATATCGATAGTGAAAAAATCGATTCAAAAAATCGATTAATCGTATCGAAAAAATCGATCTTCAAAAGTATTAAAAATCGACATCCCTGCTTCTTGTTGTTTAGCGCGCCTTGGAAGTGAAAATTACAGTGACTCTATTACCTACAGTGACGACAATTGCTGTCTTATTTTTGATTGGTTCTAAAATCCCATATATTTATATTAAAAACGCCGCCATCTTGTTTCCACCTATTGCTTATTTCAAATATGAATATATAGAATTTAGGTGAACATCCATCATAAAACATGGAAAACAACGTATTTGATGGACCTAATAATAGTCATCAAATACGTCGATTTCAATTTTTTATCAAAGATGTCTATTTGAATCCTATAAATTCATATTTAAACGTAACAAGAAGTTGGGAACAAAATGGCGGCGGGACCTCTATTGTCGCCACTGTATGTAAAGGTTTATTTAGCCACTGTAGTGAAAATGACATAGAAGGACGCGTTTTTTTCTCATCCCATCCACGAATATGAGACAGCTATTTCAAATTTCTATGAGCTGGACATCGCCACTCATCGGTGAATTCACCGGTGAAAAAAAAAAAAAAAAACAAAAGAAACGCGTCCAAACAACCAACACTTTATGGATATGCAACATATTGGTAAGTATTTGTATAATTTTTCCTAATAATATATCGGGTCATTAATGATATAAAACCATTTCATTCATTTTAAATAACGAACCTTTGTATATTTGTCAAATATCTTGTTTTCTGTCATAATAATGATTTTCAGGATCGGACTAGAATTTAAAGACAACTAGCAGTACTTTAGGTATATTTCAATTATCACATATCCTTGATAAGCTCATAAAGTTCTCCCATATTGAAAGCAATGTAATCAGGTTTGGACTCTTCCGAACTTTTCCAGTCTTCAACTTGTTCTTTGGTCCATACGCCAGACAGCGTCAGCAACGTTTTGAATCCCCCTCGGGCGCCAAATACTATATCTATTTCTGCACTAAACAAATTAAAAATTCACTTAAATAAATGTACTCCCAAAGTTTAAACTTACTTGTCTCCTACCATCAAAGTACGACTAGGATCAGTTATCTCAAATTTGGAAATTGCCAAATCAACTGCAGCCTGGCTCGGTTTTCCCATCCTAATTGGGGTTTTGTTGGTACAGTCTAGCAAGGCATCCACTAAATATTGATTTCCTAAAAAAATTAAGTCAAAAATCGGTAATGGAATTTCAGTTTCAACCTTACCAATACCATACATTTTATTCTCTATAGGAAACCGATTATCAGCAGGACCAATAACAAAATTCACATCATCTAAATAATTCAGAAGTATTTTGGCTACCTGTAAGCTACCATATTGGCAATTGGCATCAAAGTCCAAGTAAACTATCCCAACATTTTTGCAAATATCCAAAGCGTCAAATGAAAGTTTACTAATAGCTGAAGCGGTTTCTCCCAGTGAGGATGGATTTATGTCCTAAAAAAATTATAATTACCAAATAAATTCAATAAATAATGTCTTTTTCACCTGATAATCGATCACATTGTAACCTGCCTCCCTTAGAAGCTTTTTTGGATAGTTGCAAGCGATCATATAAATGTCCTTTTTGAAATCTATCTTTTTTAGGTATCCTAGAAAAGTGAAATTTGGAGTAAGGATTTCTTCCTCCAAAGCTTCAAACGGTTTCAAATTTTTTAATATCACCTCCATTGGATAGAAAGAATTGTTGGTAACAAATCCAATTTTCTTTCCTAGTGATCGCAATTTTGCCACTGCTTTGTCCGATCCAGGAAGAACGGTTTTATCTCGCAACAGTACGCCTTGAATAAAAGGAGATATTTTTTATTTTTATATTCATACAAAAAAAAACGGAAACAGCGATTGAACAAACAATCCAGTTTCCAAATTAGAAAGAATGAAGACTGTTAATCGACTCTACCCTAAATATAAACTTTTCGGGATTAATTTTTATTTTATTTTTTCAGTTTCCGGCAGGTGATCAAAACCGTCCAATCTCTGGTGCATTATCGTATTGCACTCCTTACTCCCACTTAATATAAATACCTCTAGGCTCTTTTTTGTAGAACAGAGACGAAGGTAAATAGGTATTGGCTAGACAAGAAAACACCCAAAAGACTATTCCGTACATCGTTCCAAACCAACGTCAAGTGCCTCTAAAAAAAAGAGACATCGCCTGACCCCCGAAAGCTCTACGATAATGGTACTTTTTGTGTCGATTTTCTCTTATCTGATAATGTCCATATGACATCGAGAAAAATTTCTTGGTTGGCGAAATTATAATAGAAATTTTTTTGACATAACAAAAATAGGAATAAGGTACCATGATAATACAATTTTCAAAATACATATTCCAAAAAAAAAAATATCAGGCACTATTTCTAGTAGATATTAGATATGTGATAAGAATTGATACTCTGTTACAATAATGTTTATTTTACTTTCTCCTGGATAATTTAGCATTTGAAAGCCCAAGGCCAAGGTGATTCTGAGGATTGTATTTTTTTTCGAACATCATGCAGCCTAGTTAAAATATTTGGAAACCTTCAGAAAAAACAATTTTCACCTATAAACACGTTACTACACACTCAAATTTAGCCAAGTAAAACAAGCAAGTTACGGGAGCGTACAATTGTGATGAGAGCGATGACGCACACTTACCATCAATATCTAATAAAAATATTTCAACAGTTGAAATTAGACTTTGAACGTCTTCTTTCTCAAGATTCTTAATCCAGTGCAATTTATTCATTTTCAATTATTAATACTGATGTATAATATGTTGGTAGCAACTATTTAAATGAGTGTAATATTCACCGACTGCTAGGCAAATATTTAATTAAATCCAAATCCAAAATAAGCTTTATTATCTCGAAGTCTCATTGACAAAGCAAACTAAACTAACAATAAAGCGGATACAATAAAACAAATTAAACATGAGACAATGGGTGAATGAAGCAAATAGAACAAAAGGGGAAAAGCAGTGCTAACAGAGTCCAGGAAAAGTTGATTGAACAGTAACAATAAAAACTAAATATAACACATTATAAGATACCACTGTAAGATTTGTCTTGAGGTTGTGGTATTTGTTGGTTATATTCATAGCTAGCTTATACTTTTCCAAATAGTGCACCTTTGTGTTTACTCATAACTTTCTATAATGATTATAACAAGCAATAGTATCTATGAATAACTGCAAAACCTGGCAAACTAAATAAAGAACTGATTTTTTTAGATTTATCAATAATTGTAAGTATGGCTTTAACTTCTATTAAAACAATATACTATTCGGCTGTCGTACCAAGAAACAGCTACAAACTGTGAAAAATAAATTAATTATGGAGATAATAAACAAAGTTTATAGAAATATATAATTTTATTAAATTACTTTATCACTGTATTTTGTAAAAAAATAAATCAAATTCTCAAATATGTGGAGTACATAGTCGTAACAGTAACAAAATACATACACAATAATAAAAAATACTATCTTAAAAATATTCTATAACAACCAAAAAAATCAAAAACTAATCATAGAAAATTAGGGCCTCGAAAAATTATTTGAACGAATCTAATTGACTATGATCATTTGTAGTGTGGCTTTATTTTTCTACCAAAGGAAAACAATATTAATGCAATACAAAAAACTACAAACCAAAGAGGAAAAATTAAATTATCTACTCAGCAGAAAAGTAGTGTCAGAGCCGATTGATTAGAAAAAACTCTAATCAACTTTGATTCAAAGTATGGCTTTATTTCTTGCACTTGTCGAGATTAACCCAATTCTCCATAATCCATGGATGCTTCATAGCGTCTTTCAAGGACATTCTTTTGTCACCTTTAATGACAACCAACTGAAGAAGAAAAAAAAATTTAAAGCATATCTGGAAAACATGTCAAGTCTGAAAGTCCCAACAGTTATTGGTGATGAACATCCTTCAAAAAGACCTAAACTATACAAGTCTTAGTATGTTTGATGAAAAATAAGTGCACTCCGGTTTGAGTACAATTAATGGGTGGAGATTATATTTATAGTAGGAACTGCAATGGCAAAAAGTTTTAAAAAAATCAAAGCCATGGTTGAACAGAAAAAGTATTAATAATGAAAATGTTCTTAGATAATTGCGTACAGTTTGTAGGCAGACAAGTGATGAGGTCATCAGTGCTAGGTACAAAGTCCTTCTCAAAGAACATCAACAGTTGATTTATGTGAGTAATCGAAGAAGTGAGTAAGATTCTCTGCTCAATCAGAGTAAATTTAGAAATAATTCAAAAACTCCGACTTCTTTAACTGACTTATTACAAAAGTAATAATGCTTTGTCTTGTCAATGACATAATCTACTTGGATATTTGGTTTGTGTATTCCCAACAGTCAAACATGGGACCCTATTGCACTTTGTACTTCCATATTCTGTTCTTCATTCACGCTGTCATTAAATATGCAGCTGTTATTAGTTGTAGTAAACTAAACTCAACTAGCATGTCACAAACTAAATTTAGAAAATTAAAAATATTAGGCTCAAAAATACTGGTTATTAATGTGAATCTGTGAATAAATAAATAAAATACCTTAGAAATAAAGTCCTCAGCCAAAGCACTAATGTGTTCACCAAAATGCAAATCTCTCATTCTAATTCGTCTATAAGTGTCCTCTGACTCTTTGCTTTCAAATGGAGGGTAACCATGCAAAAATTCATAGCATAAAATTCCTAAATGAAAATTAATATCAAATTTAAGGTAAGCTTCATTAGAAAAAAAACCAACCTAAACACTAATTATCGACATGATGTCTATAATCTTTGCCGCCAATCATTTCAGGTGGTAAGTAGTCCAAAGTGCCGCACATAGTGTTTCTTTTCAATGAAGGAGAGTGAACAGACCAACCAAAATCGGCCAACTTAACATCACCAGTAATAGTGAGGAGCAAGTTTTCAGGTTTGATGTCTCTGTGAATAACATGGTTCTGATGGCAATAATCCAAAGCATCAGTAACTTGATAAGCATATTTCGCAGATCTCTGATTACCAAATCTGCCATTATCAGCATTTTTTAAATGTTTGTATAACTCTCCTTTACCAGCATATTCCAAGATTAAGTAAATTCTGTGAGAATCGTGGAACCAGGCCAGAAGCTGTAGTATGTTGGGATGTTTTAAGTGGCTCTGAATTTCAATTTCCCTCATCGTTTGTTTTTCAACGTGGCCCTCGACAATTTCCTTTTTCAATAGTGTCTTCAGGGCAACTATATATCCACTGCGCTTCTCACGCGCCAAAAATACTCTGCCAAATTTACTTCTTCCCAGAAACTTTCCAAATTCATAGTCATCTAGGCTCCATCTATAACTGTAATAAAAAAAAAAGACACTTTAAGGGAATAAACTGCTGTTTAGATAATGTATTTATAAATTTTAGTAATGTGACTGTTCCATGAATGTCTTTAACCCAAACCTGGTGCAATTGAAAGCGAATTGAATGTTGAGGACTTCATCACAAATTCTAACCTGGATGAAAGCCATTCCTTCTGTAGACTCCTTACAAATAAAGGCATTCAAGAGATGTGCGTTTTGATACAAAATGAAAATTGGCCTTTTCTGGAATCGGGTAATGCTGAGACAGTTTTTTTCAAAAATATTCTATCCTACACAGATGCTGCATTCCCAATGCATCAACAAACAGAAAGGGCCTATTAGGAGGTTGGACTTGAGTGGTTTAATGGGGAACTCCAAGCCCTACGGCATGAGCTAAATACCCTTAACAAGATGTGCAGAGAGACTGTTTGTTGCCCACTCAGAAACAGGTACAGGACTGAAATAAACAGGCAAAGAAGCAATTTCACACTACATTCAAAGCTCAAATGATATTACTGAGGCATCCTGGACCTTAATAAAAAAACATACTGTGAATAACAACCCAAATTCGAATGTCAACCTGGACTCAAATGAATGTAGCAATTACTTTTCCAGTATTGCGAAAATCCTCGCAAATGCCTTACTTTATATTTGCAAAATAGCCACACAAAAAATAGCGACATAAATTTTGGCTTCTGCCAGGTAACTCCAGAAGAAGTCTATCAAGCTTCAAATTACCTAAAGAAGAAACATAGCAGGGAATTTTATTATTTGAATATAGCACTAATACAAAGACTTGGTAAATGGATCATTCATCCTCTTTCAATACTATTCAACAGGGAGTATACCCAGAACAGCTTAAAATCAGCAAAACTGAGCCAATCCATAAGAAAGGTGATAAACTATCACCAGAAAATTACAGACCCATGTCTTTAATGCCAGTTTTTGAGTCTCTCCTTCAAAAACAGCTCTATACATACCTTGAGGATAACAAGCTGTTGATAGATGAACAATTCTGGTTCAGAAAAGACAAATCTACCACTGGAGCAGTGCTAAGCCTTTGTGATTTCATCGTCGAAGGCTTTGAGGAGGGACGAATAGTAGCCTCTACTTTCTCTGACCACTCCAAGGCCTTCGACTGTGAATCACATGACATTCTAATAGAAAAACTCAAAAATCATGAACTGGATGATCTTAGCATAAAACCGATGAGGGAATATCACTTAGATAGGAGACAGGTCACTGAGATAGAAGGCGAGCACTCAGAGCAGAGGGTGATACAGCACGGGGTTGATCATGGGTCAATTTTCGGACCACTCATGTTTTTGATTTATATCAATGACTTCTCAGCTGCTTTACCAGCTTGCAAGGTCATACTTCTTACAGATGATAATGGCTTCTCCATAAAATGTGACACTTTCGACTAGGTAAACGCCGAAATATCACGACATGCTAAAACTGCTAGTGAATGGTTTCGGTCAAACCTTTCAAATATAAATTGGGATAGACTGGAAACATGACCTTTACTCTTCAAAAAGCTACAGTCACACACAGCTCTGAAAAAAGTCACCTTTGAACAACATATTAAAGAAACCTCAAAAAAATTATGTTCTGCCACATATGCCCTGAGAAATATATCAAAGATAGTAGATAGCAAGACCCTTAAAATGGCCTACTATGGACTTTTCCATTCTGTCTGTATATAGGTACGCACTCCTGGCTTGGGGGCACTCGCCGCATGCCTCGAGTACCTTCGGTCTACAGTGGAAGGCAGTCAGAATCGTGGCAGGTATCCGTATCCAATACCAAGAAGATGTTAGACCTTTTTTCAAAACTCTGAAAATACTGACTGTTGCAGCCTAATACACTCTAGAGTCCCTTTTGTATTTTCACAAAAGCTCCACAAACTATAACTATGGGCATGAAACTCATAACTATAATACTCGCCATAGGCAATAGGAAATCCAGATTGAATTTTTTCGTTTACAAACTTCCCAGAATGCAGCACGTCATTATGCACCCATATTCTTCAATAAATTACAAATAAGCTAAAAAAAATTCTTATTAATAAGTGTCTGTATTCAATAGATGAATTTATACAGTGTGGGGTCTCAGATTTGGATTTTTAACCAGTCCTCTTCTGGGTGCGGTAAACTTGTTAGGTATGTGCATCTGCATGTAAAATGATCTTGTCGACTAAAATGTTTAGTATTTTTTATTGTATAATTTCAGTATTAACCAAATACCTGTTTTGTTATTTTAATTATTATTTATGACTATGTTAAGAAACTTTGTAAGTTTTTGCAGTAATATATTTGAACTTAAAAAAAGTTTAATAGTTTTCAATGCAGCTTTGATAGTTTTGCGGCTGCGAAGATTCAAAGTCTTTTGACTTTGGTTTTTATCAAGGTTGCAAAGCAAAAGGAAATTTTCTCTCTCTACTACTCAATGGTTTCAATGCAGCTTCAAAATATACTCCTGGACAAAATTATCGCACCACTGCTTATGGTGATGCTTATGTGCAGTGGTGCAATAATTTTGTCCAGGAGTATATATATTTTGACTTTGATTTTTATCAATGCGAGTGAGCAGAAGGACATTTCAATGTGAGTAAATCCTCTTCAAATCACTCCTAATAAAAAATATACAGGAAATTTACAACAAACAAAGAAACAACGACCTAACAACATCTTGTTCACATAGTTATATGAACTACCATGGTTTGAGTGAAAAATAAAATACTTAACTCATAAAATAACAAATAATTATTGCACATTATACGCCAGGTAACAGTTTTTACTGGCACTTGAAGGTGACAAGCTTGTCTGTCAGCTGGCTAGTAATTTTCTTAAATCTCCAGTAAAAACGGTTTTGTTTGGCTAATAATGTAAAATAGTATCACACAAGATATAACAAAACAAGTAAGTATATGTTTATAGTGACTGTTCTTAAGTTATCTTTCAGCTGGAAAATTTTATTATGTACCTATACCTATCCATGACATCAAAAGACAATGAACAGTAACATCACAACATATAATAAAATTGTTTTTATCATCATATTTTCTATATACAGAGCTAAAATAATCTTAGCTTTATAATTTCCACAGGTGTTGTTATCTTTTAACTGTCATATAGCTGGGCAAACATTTGGAATTTTTTTTAGATCTTATCGGGGATCGAGCAAGGGGTGTTTCACGATCCGCATTAACTAACCCTAAACTTAGAAAATGGAATAGTGCGTTTTTTAAACAACAGAAAAAATAACTTACTTTGGATTGTTGAAGGCCGGATGATCAATCATTCTCGTTACCAGTTGCTTGGTGCTTTCTGCCAGGCCTGGTACTGGAGGGATGGTGATGGTCTTCATATGCTTCTCCACTAGCTCCTGCGTTTTTTTCTGTTTCTTGGACATTTTGCGACGATTTTTTCTTCTCATATAATTTTTTACTAGAATAATTTATTTCAGTAAAACGAAAGCAAAGCAAAATAAATTTAAAAAAATTTACGGTTGGTTGATAACCATAACCAAACTCTTTTAGCCGTTGACTATTTGACATAGACATATGTCATATATGTCGATGGAAAAGGCTAGTTCAAAACGCAGCCCTACAGTTCACCCGAATATGTGGAGAAATTGGAGGCGACACTTTTCTTACCAGTGGAATATTTCACTAAAGAGGAACAGGATGTTTATTGGAACTTCCAGCCCCGTCGCCACGGGAGTGGAGAGGAGAGCCGATCAGGAACCGTCTTGCTTTTTCGTATAATAGGTCGGTTCTCACAGAATTCACAAACCAGTCAGAGCGTTTTTGATTGGTGCAAATCGCCGACAATCAGTTGTTTGATCAGTTTCAACCAATGAAATTCGCTCTGCCTGGTTTGTGATTTCTGTTAAAACAGACCCATTAGGTCTGTTTCTACAGAAATCAAACCAGTCAGAACGAATTTTATTGGTTGATCCATTCGTGATCCATTGGCAGAGTCGCGCTGCACTTTTGTATTTCATTGGGAGAGCAATGCACCGACTTTTGCACCGAGTGCTGCTAGTGCGCCACCGGCTAAAAAGCTCGTGTCGTACTCAGTGCAGTTGTTTATTGTTATTTTTGAAATTGAGGTTATTGGTGGTTGATGATTTTTCATAAAAAAACAGTCCTAAAAAGTATTTTTTTATTGTGTTTTTTATATTTGTCTGCGAATCTACTACCAAAAATGTCAAAAATCGCTTGTTGAAGGCAATTGCCTTGATGGAAAGTGGCAGCAGCAGTGAAACCAGTGAATGAAGAATATTTAGGGCTTCTAGCAGAGAGGCAAGAACTTTTTTTTAAATTGAATTATAATAATTATTTATAATAAGCACAAGTATAATTTTTTTAATGAAATTCTATATTCGAGGTTTGACGGATATGGGATGGTGCAGTACGATGATGTTTCAATAGTTGTATTCCTTTCACATCTAGGATGAGCTCCGGAACAGCTCCTGGGCGTTACGCGCTTATTCCTTTCAAAAAGTGTTTGTTGCACCTGAGTGCTGAAACCCGAATCAAACCATTTAAATGCATGAAAACCAGCGCGTCTGTTCCTTTCAAATCGGGGTCGACTAGCACCGGAATGAGTAGCCCTAGTGTTTTAAACTCTTGAAAGGAATACAACTATTGGTGCAGTCCCAAGAGCAGTTTTTTTAAAGTGTCGGTGCAAAAATAGTGTTGCACTTGATACTTGCTCTACCAATGAAATACGCTATTAGTGAGTCATTCCTGAACTCGCCCCTGCAGAAACAGACCTATTACCAAAAGTGTACCAACCAACCTAAATAGAAATCATTCCCCTTTGCGTTCCAACCAATTTTGTCGTAGTTCTAGAACAAATTCGGGACAGTCATTTCGGTTCGCGTTGAGGAGCAGGACTTTTTGAACGTTAATCAATCATTTCCTTTATTCTAAATTTCATTTTAATTGTACGTTCGTTTTTTTACCGGCTAAAAATGAATAATGGTCGGTCCTCTCATTCAACATACAACATTTATCAACCGTTGGCCATTCTAGTGCAGGTTTTTGGATCGGATTGGAAAATTGGTGGTCGGTTTTCGGTCATATTCATAACGAAATGATTTCATCAATGCAAATTTCCTTATCCTCTTCTAGTAGCAGTGCCAAGAAACCAAGAAAAAAGAAAAAAAACCTCAAGGTCAAATTGGGACTCCGTTGGGATTGCACCAGTGCATCTTTCAAATGGACCCTGAGTGTGGGTTCTGGAGGATTAGGATCACTACATCTCTTGATCTCTTCCCTTTCTACTCGACTTTAGTTTAAAAACGGGTTGAATGTGATCTTAGCTTTGTTACAACATAGCAGAAAACCATACCATATATCGTCTCGATTTTACGCAAAACCAAAAATTTGTGGATAGAATCCGAAACTAGAGTTGTTTCGAAGCCGTTCATAGGACGGTTTTTGACGTGATAGAACAGACAATTACTGTTCGCGGTTAGGATTCAGGGCTGGAAATTCACTCTGTCTAGTTTGTGATTTCCTACAGAAACAGACCTATTTACCAAAAGTCTACCAACCAACCTAAATAGAAATCATTCCCCTTTGCGTTCCAACCAATTTTGTCGTAGTTTTAGAACAAATTCTGGACAGTAATTTCCGTTCCAAACCAAAAATTTGTGGTTAGAATCCGAAACTAGAGTGGTTTCGAAATCGTTCTAGGACGGTTTTTGACGTGATAGAACAGACAATTACTGTTCGCGGTTAGTTTGGGTTAGTTCGCAAGCGCAGTTCAGATCATGTAGTTCGCGGATTAATAAATTCCGAATTTTTAGTTGCAGTCCTTTGTTCTGGGTTTAACTAAAATCAGTTCCAAGTCGATTCTGAACGAGTTCTACCGGCTCTAGATGCTACCAAAATCCACTCCAACGCTCGAGTTCAATCTCGAATCCCAGAATCCACGTGCATTCCATTCGAGTGGAGTGTCGCAAAATTGTTAGGTTAGTTTAATTCTAATTATTGGTTTTGATGTGATTGTGCAAAAAAAAATAATTAGCCGATTATAATAGATAATACGCAAAGTTGTTTATTAGGTTTGTTCACACAGAAATCACAAAACTGGGAGTCTTGAGCGCCACCGAATATCATTGGACGAAACTGTCAGAAAATTGGTTGTGTTGTGGATGATTTGCAACAGTCAAAAAAGCTCAGACTTGTTTGCGATTTCTGTGCGAACAGACCCTATTATTGTGGGCTCAAGGTTGAAATACAGCGAATCTCTGCTGGGTTTCGTTTCGTTCAGTTTCAGTTCCAGTCCCATTGCGGCCGCTTGCACGCGTGACGAACGGTAGACATGGCTAATAATTCCACAATGGATAATTTTTGTGGATCCGAATTTTGGGTAAGAGAGTTTTATATTTTAGTGACAATAATTATTTATTAATTTTCCTTTAAATTTTAGAATAGATCTCTCACATGGGACACAGATGATCCAGACTTCACAAAATGCTTCGAGAAAACTGTACTGGTATGGGGCCCCTGTTTCTTTCTGTGGCTGTTTGTGGGACTTGAAGTGTATTACATAAAAAACAGCAAAAAGAAAGATATTCCTTGGAACTGGATTAATTGTTCCAAACTTTTTGTCACCTCAGCTCTTAGTTTATTGATGATAAGTGATTTAGTTACAAGTTTACAAAACTTTAGTACAGACTTTGTGCCAAGTGTAGATATATACACCCCTTTGCTGAAATTAGCAACATTTGTAAGTACCCATCATTTTTTTGATAATTTTGTTATTATTTGTTTTTTTATTAAATAGAATTTTAGTACCTAAGACTACGACCTTGCTCCTACATTATAAAAACCCTATACATTGAAATCTAAATCTACAGTTTTATTCTTTGAAATTCTTCTCAGTCACACGGAACATCAATACAAAATAATATTGAATTTTTCAATTTTCGAATCACCAAATAATGTGTAATTTTTGCTTTTTATGTTTTGTATTTGGCTTTTACTAACTACTAAAGGCAAAATAGTATGAATACATTTCTTAATTCCTAGTTTTTTTCTCATTTTTTTCTGCAATTTTGCTATAGTCTATTTCATTGAAGTTGATAGCTCAAATCGAGCCATAGGGTTCACAATGACTTTATGGTCCCAAACCTCGATTTGAGCTAGGTATCAACTGCAATGAAATAGACTATAGCATGTGTATTTTATTTCCGGTATTGTTTATCTAGCCAAAAAACGTATCAGCTCAACTTTGAGAAACATATTTCTTTTGCAACTACATTGAACGCAGCAGATTATACATGACTTTTGTACTGTCTGAAACTTTTTGTTCAGAACTGGACACCCTAAAACGAACATACAAGACTAACAGACTAACCGTCCAAAAAAAAAAATCTGCAACAAATGAAAAATTAATGGTTAACTGAAGACAAATGTGAGTTCATCTTTAGGACAAAAATGAGGCAAAAATTCTTGATTCTCACAATGCTCTTTAATTTTTTAACTACCAGGATCAAACAGTTTCACCTACATCCCATCATCAGGCTTACAAGAGCTAAAAATGTTTCTTTTTCAATTCATGTATAAAAGCGATAAATAATCAGTACAAAGTCTTTAATGACTTAAAATTTCTATAAAAATTATTAGCAATGAACAAGTGTGGAAATTCAATTTGGCCTACAGTGTAGATTAATGAGTTAGGATTATTTACTTATTAAGGGTTTCCTTTCTCATCATAATGCAATAACCAGGGATCGACCCATACGTTTTTTTTTTTAAAAAAAACGATATTGCCGATACCGATACGATATGGATTTATAGAAGGCCGATACCGATATAAGGCCGATATATATTTATCTGTTTTCTCCAACCTTTTCCTTTGGTTTGAATGTTTTATTTGTTTTCTCGCACCTTTTCCTTTAGTTTGAATGTTTTATTTATTTGTTTTCTCCTAGTTTTAATATTGTTTGTTCGAATTCAGATAAGCAGAAAGTTTAGTTTTTTTTTTTTTAAATAAATAATTTTGAATTTGAGTTTAGATAGGCAGAATGTAAAGTTTTTTTTTTTAAATAAAAACCCAATTAATTAAAAATAAATTTATGAGAAACAATTTCTAATATTGACTTTTTTCTTAGTCACTCCCATATGTACCAACCACAATTATTAGCTCTTTTAAGCTTCAAAAAAGCCTTAGTGATGATTACTGATCTTCAAAATATGATTTGTATCGGTCTAAAGTTATCAGCCAATGAAGGGCCGATATGCCGATACACCGATATACCTGAAAATGGCCGATATACCGATATGCCATATCGGTATCGGTCGATCCCTGGCAATAACCCAAGTCAAGTCTGCAAGTAAAAGTAATGTATTCGAAATTTACTAGCCTCGAAAACAGAAAACTTTAAATATATTTTTTATAATTATGTATCTACAGCTGATAGATCAACCATAAATTAATGTCTATATGTACAGGGTGTTTGGTAGGTCGATGCAAATATTTTGAGTGGTGATAGAGTAAGTCATTTAGAACCTATTCAGTCAAACTTACCTCAGTACCAAGTCTTATGGTTTTCAAAATATGGCCGATTTAATTTTTTCTTAAAAAAATCTCACAAATCCTTTGATGGGCGCTTTAATGCGATATTCAGAAATACCATCTCAATTATTTTTGATTTGTATCCGAGTTTGTATCTCAACATAATGTGTAATTTTTGTGCTAAATGCATTAACAATAAAATAAATAAAAAATGAACAATACAAGTGCCCTTTTAAAGTCACAAAAAGTATTAACTCCATTGCAAAATGAGTTTTCTCGGAAAATAGGATACAATAAACGCAACTAAGGTTTTCAAATTAATTTTTAAACTTTTGTCAAGTGCCTTTTCCAATTGCACATACTTACCACAAAAAAAAAATGTTTTTTTTAGTGCTGCACAAAAATCATGTTAGACTACAGATTTCCAAAAATGAGTATTCAGGGAAAAAACTGACAAGCCTTTTTTTTCTTATTTTTACAAACAAAATGTTAACTTTTAGACTGAAATGAGTAAACAGTTTGGTAATGGCTAATTTTCGTGATAATTTGTGATATTATTTCTGAATAACGCATTCGACAAAGGATTTGTTAAGTTTGTTTAAGTAAAAAATAAATCGGCCATTGTTTGAAAATCATAAGACTTGGTACTAAGGTAAGTTTGACTGACTAGGTTCTAAATGACTTACTCTATCACCTCTCAAAATATATGCATCAACCTACCAAACACCCTGTATAAGAGTTAAATAATTATTTTAAACAGGTTTTTGATTTTATAGATCAATGAATTTTTGTTTAGGGACATTACTTTATTGGCTGACTGTAGGTACATATTACTTAATCTTATGAAACTATTTTGACACAATAACTAAAAGTTAACTTCTGGAATGACATAATTTTTCATAGGAATCCCAGAAGTTAACTTTTAGTTATCTGTCAAAATAGTTTTTTAATACCCGCCCTAAATCTGGTACAACTGAATACACAATCAAAAATTATCTCTATTCTGAAAAATACCGGGTCGAGTTATTGATTTAAAAATCTGGTACCTAACTGATTTAAGTAAATTTGAATGGAATTAATGAGGGAATTAAGTATTTAAATAAGTAGGTATTAAAATAAAATTGAGATTTACCTACAGTAGGTTCTTACTTGCAACAAATATGTAAATACAAAATGTTGCTTATGGAAGGTGTGGGTCCCAACTTATTTAAAATACAATATTATTGGGAGACAAAAATATATAGGTAACATATATTTTATCCGATTTTATCATTACTAAGTTCTTTGCTAATACCTATGTATGTATCCGAGTATGTATCATTCCACCTATTCTATATTTACGAGTATATTTAGTTCTGTTCCACCATCACTCTTGTCTTGGAAACAAAACCATTTTTTTTTTGAACTTGCACAACAGTATAAATGATAGCAATTCAAAGCAGCTTTTGTTTGAAATTTTTTGAACAATCCTTGCATTCAGTATCAAACCATGATTCATATGATGAGACATATTATTTCCAGCTGTTTAAGATGCCATTTCTGTAAAGGCAAACGTGTGTTATCAATGGTATGATACTTGATACCCATTTGAAGTAAAACTCAGGGTTGATATGCTTCAGGAAATAATTTTTCTTCTTCATAGGTCTGAAGAAACCAATAGGAACTATCACTTAGATCATGACCTTATATCAAGCTTCTAGGTGGCCTGATTATACTTTAAACACTTTGTCCCAAAATAAAACATAATTAGAAACATTATTTTCATTGATTCGTTTACCAATAAGTAAATTTATAATAAAATTGATTTGGCAGGTGAAATAATGCAGTTTGGTTCGCCTGAAATGATTTTAAATGTGTACCTACCCAAGTTTCCATGGCCTCCTAGGGTATCATCAAATTTCATTGTAGTCACAAGGCCAACAGATTTTGAATTTTTCTATAGGTACAGCTTGGAATAATGTAAGCACTAGCATTACCCATAAATGTATGTTTAATGTTTACTCAGGGTTTTTTCTTTTTTGCATGAGATGTAGAAATGAAAATTGTAATATTATTGATTTTCTTGTTGAAATGTAAAAATTGCTAATTTTTTACGTAATTCTTAATGTATGTTGAATTTACGTCTGGTTGGTATTAACCCGTACAATTGGCAATCAAGGGCTAATAAATTCTTAAAAATAATATCCGCAATATAGGTATTATTTGGCAAACTATAAAACATTTCAATCAAATAGGTTTTTGTTTGACAATTTTAACAAAAATAAAAGCGGGCATTAGTGAAAAAGAAACTCTTTGCTGTTTCCTGAACTTCCTAATCGACTTAATTAGGTACCAAAAACTAGTCAGCAAAAATGTGACAATACTACCCATTGTCTATAGAAACCCACAAAAGGAGCATTATATCATAGCAATAAACAGTCCAAGGTTATGACAAGGAACGTACCAGTTTCGCATATTAATGTAGACATTTTTGACCATTCTGCGCCATGGAATAGCTTTATTTTCCTGAAACACTGACTACCACAAAAACTTTGCACAAACAGAATCTTACAGTTCTTGGAACCTTTAATAGTCTTTACTAGACAGGAATGGCCAAATTCCAGGTTTTTGAAAATTTCTATTAGGTTTTTGTGGGTTATTGTGATAGCTTTAATGTTTTTGTGTTTACTCACATAACTAGACAAAATTTTATATTTGTTTCAATAGTTTCGCATCTGAGAAGCTTCATTTATCGAACATTGAAAATTTTCCAAGAATGACACTGAGACAGTTTTTGCCTTACAGCTCCTTTAATTCTCATCCGAATAAAACGCAATTAGGCTCTAATTAAAGCCAATTACATTCTCTACAAACCTATTGATAAGGATTTTAATTTTGGTCCTACAGTTTTGCACTTGAGAAGCTTCAAAATTGAATTTATCGAACATTGAAACTTTTCCAAAAATGACACTGAGACAGTTTTTGTCTCACAGCTTCGTTAATTTTCATCCGATTTGATCGCAATCATGCTCTAATTAGAGCCAATTAAATTTTCTACAAACCTTCCAATCAAGAGTTCAATTCAGTACCAACAATTTTGCAGCTGAGAAGCTTCAAAAAAGAAATTATCGAACATTGAAAATTTTCCAAAAATAACACTGACATTTCTTGCCTAACAGCCAGTGGCGTAACTAAGGGCCCGCAGTTGCGGTGGGGCCCCGTGACTTAGG